ATTGCTGCTGGAATTGCTGGAGGGAGGTGAGGCGCAGGAGGGTCTCGAGGAGGGAGAGCGAGGTGCGGATGTTGTTGAAGTGCGGGTTGGAGACGGTGGTGGTGGTTTGCCGGGGGTTGGGACGTGGCGAGCGTTTGGAGGAGGATGTGGTGGAGGCTGGCGTGGGAACCGGGGAGTTGTGCGTCGGGTTGAGGGAGAGTTTGCCCATGGCTTCGGAGTTGGGGTCGTCTTCTTCTGTGTCGGAGGATTCGGAGTCGGAGGTGTCTTCTTCGGTGTAGACTTCGAAGGCGATCCATTCGGGGTCTAGGTCCTTGGGGAGGCGCCATGGCGAAGGGCTGGAGTCTTCGTGGAAGCTGGGGTGATCATCGTCGTTGTTGTTGAGCTGGGCGTCGAGTTGGGCTTGGAGCTCGTCGGGCTCGTCGTCGTCGTCGTCCTGGCTGTCGGAGACGTTGCCTAGCTCTGACTCGTCGCGATCCAGCATGCGTCGTGGCGGGATGGCGTTGATGTCTCGTTTGAGGAGGAGGACGGGGTTGTTCGTTTCTCCCTCGGTGCTGATGTTCAGGATCTTGCCGGTGTCGGCGTAGAAGATCTTGGAGATCTGGTGGATGGGCAGGATCTCGCGCACTCCCGCGGTGTTGACTCCTTCGAAGTGCTCGGGCTGCGCTTCGCCTTCGTCGAAGGTGTGCACTCGCCCATCGTCGAGGTCCTCAACTATGAGCACTTGGTAGGCGAATTCGTCCACTCGTGCGTCTCCAGGGAGGCCTATGTGCCGCGTTTGCCGGTGCTGCGGATGTGTTGCCAGTCCCATGGGCACCCGACGGAGTTTCAAGCGGGCTTTGTGCATGACCTCTTTCCAGGTTGCCTCGCGTATGCCGTCCTCGTCATGCGGGCGGAGATGACTTGCGAAAAGCATGTACATCGATAGTGTAAATGTTGGACCAATCTGCACGGCGTGGGACGGAGTCATGGAGTACTGGGTATCGCCTGCGGTCAGGAACGTGCTCGCCTGCAGCAACCGAGAGGGAGACACGGTTGATGGTAGGTTGACCGACAGCTTAGCGCCAGAGGTAGTAATGGCCAGGTTCATCAAAGGTACTGCATCTTCGATGCGCACAAGCAGTTTCTTGATGTCTCGGATGATATACTGGATTTCTTTCTGCTGCTGCGAGCGATCGCGGTTGGGCTTGGCTCCTCGGACGTAGAGCTCTTCTGATGTTGCAGCCTTTGCCAATCGCTGGCCCAGAGCCTGTATGTCCCATCGTAGAGATTTGGTGAGGGATACTGCTGATTCTAACGATGTGTTTCCTCTTGCAGCGCTGCGGGGAATCAGAACGTGTCTAACTATGCTGTTGGATTAGGGACTCACATAAGCTCAATCATGTCGATAGCAGGAGAGATGACCTGTCCATTCTCTTCAGCACACTGTTCTATACTCACGTATAGAAGTCTTGGAGAGAACGAAGCCTACCTGGATCTTGCTCTCCAGGCGGTGCTGTAAAGAGAGCAATTCGTCTCTTTCCTCGCAATTGTCGACATTCTGAACTGCGTCAGTAACGAAGTTTCCAGAGATATCTGACTGAGCGAGTGACGAAGTTCCGAACTGACTTTGAGCAGCCGTGATGACTGACGGATGGCATATTTGGCTGTGATGGCTATTCCCGAGCTACATGTCCACTCAGTGAGCTAGCTGCCCGACAAGATCAGGCCAAGAATCGCCGAGTCATACCGAATGGCATAGTTCATTGCCTGCTGGGTGAGCTAAGATAGAAGTCAGTTTGTGAAATAGCGAGACAGGTGACATGAGAGCTTACTCTGAGCAAAAAAGCATCCATTTTGCCTCCGATCTATGGCAGCTGCAGAGTGATGTAGATCGGCGATAGCTGCTGTATGCAACTGGCCCGTAGCGGCCTTGGGTTGCTCTGAGGTGTTTATCGGTGATGAGCCACCCACGTTGTCTGTTGTTTAGTTTGACAGTTCAGATCACCATCCATGAATTTTGAACCTTTGTTTTCAACTCTTCTTTGTCACCTGCTACGAGCTTGCAATTCTTCAATCGGCGTAACCAGCAACAAACGCGGCAAACGCAACACACGCGGAGGGCGGGGAAGAGACGCAGCTGAGTCAGCCACCAGCAAAATCAATCGGGCTCCGGAGAAAAAACGCCCCTCATTTGGCCTTTCACCTTGTCTTTCACCCCTCTTACCCTCTTTCCCGTCCTCCAGACCTGTTTCGCGATATCTCTGGGACGGTTTTTGAGTTGTTTGCTCTATTTGCGGTTTTCCAGCGTTCTACACCATGGCCAACCAAACCCCCGAATCCTGGGAGGATGAGCTCTCCAGACAGACCGAAGGTGTGAACCTGAACAGCAACGGTCGTCGCCCGCAACAGCAGTTCAACTACCAGGGCTCGACCTTCACTCCTGGCGCTGCTTCCTTCACCCCCGGCGCCGCTTCATTCGTTCCCGGTCAGCAGTCGTACGGCGGATACCCCCAGTACGGCCAACAATACGGATACCAGCAGCAACAGCAGCCTTACGGTCAGTACGGAGGACAGTACGGAGCCTATGCTCAGCAACCCGGTTACAACCAATACTACAACAACCAGCAACAATATGGTGGCTACCAGCAGCAGCCCCAACAGGCTCAGCAGCCTCAGCAACAACCCAAGCCTGCTGCGGAGCCCAATCCCGCTGCCCCCAAGCCCGCCGCTAAGGTCCTGAGCATTGGCGCCGAGCCCAAGGCTAAGGTTCTCAGCCTCAGCGGTGCCAGCGATTCCCCCAACGCTCCGAAGACGAAGGTCCTCTCCATCGGCGGCACATCCGCCTCCCCTAGCCCCGCGACTTCGGGTACGGCCACCCCCGGTGACACCAAGGGCGCTGCTGCCGCCGACGCCGCCGCTAAGGTGACGGCGTCCAAGGCCATCGAGAAGACCGAGAAGAAGGCCGAGGCCAAGGCTGCTGCCAGTGGCAAGTCCTCCCCTGCTCCCGCCTCCGGCCGGTCATCCCCCGGCCGTTCCAGCCCTTCCAGAGCCGAGGTTGCTAAGGCTGCTCGCCACGCCGATGCCGTCGCCCAGGAGCAGAAGGCCGATGTCGACGAGGCCACCCTGAACGAACTTTACGGCGAGCTGGAGAAGAAGGAACACGTCAACGTGGTTTTCATCGGACACGTCGATGCCGGTAAATCCACTCTGGGAGGCTGCATTCTCGTCGCCACTGGTATGGTCGACGAGCGTACTTTGGAGAAGTACAAGAGAGACGCCAAGGAAATGGGTCGTGAGACTTGGTATCTGTCCTGGGCTCTGGATCTCAACCCCGAGGAGCGCGCTAAGGGCAAGACCGTGGAAGTCGGCCGCGCCCATTTCGATCTCCAGCTGAAGAACGGTGTCACCAGAAGCTGCAGTATCTTGGATGCCCCTGGTCACAAGGCCTACGTGCACCACATGATCGGCGGTGCTACCCAGGCCGATGTCGGTGTCCTCGTCATCTCGGCCCGTAAGGGTGAGTACGAGACCGGATTTGAGAAGGGTGGCCAAACCCGTGAGCACGCTTTGCTTGCCAGAAACACCGGTGTGCGCAAGCTGGTCATTGCCGTCAACAAGATGGACGACCCTACTGTCGAGTGGAGCGAGGAGCGTTTCAAGGTTTGCACCACCAAGGTGGCTAAGTTCTTGGAAGCTTTGGGTTACGCAAAGGCCGGTTAGTACACAATTTATTGTTATCGCTGGAAGTGCTGCCAGACATACTGACAGCTCAATCCAGACTTGACCTTCATGCCCATCAGTGCACAGACCATGGTCAACATCAAGGACCGGGTAAGTGAAAGTCGTCCAAATCACGGAATATACATGTTGACAGGTCAATATAGGTCACGAAGGACGTGTGCCCCTGGTATGATGGACCTTCGTTGCTGGAGTACCTCGGCGACATGGAACTCCCTCCTAGAAAGCTGAATGCTCCTTTTGCCATGGCTGTCAGCGCCAAGTACAGGGATATGGGAACTATGGTTGAAGGCAAGATCGACAGTGGTGTATGTATTCCCCACAATTCCTGTTTTTTCCTGGTCTCTAACAATGCTACAGATCGTCAAGAAGGGTGCCCAAATGGTGGTCGTGCCCGGCCTTGCTAAGTGCGAAGTCGCTGCTCTGTATGGCGAAACCGAAGACGAAATCGCCACTGGCAGCTGCGGTGACCAAGTCCGTATGCGTCTTCGTGGTGTCGAAGAAGAAGACCTTCTTCCAGGTTTCGTTCTGTGCTCTCCCCGACGTCTGGTCCACTCTGTCCACTCGTTCGAGGCCAAGATCAAGTTGCTCGAGATCAAGGGCATTCTTTCTGCCGGTTTCAACTGCGTCATGCACGTGCACTCGGCTGTTGAAGAAGTCACTATCGCCGCTCTTCTGCACAAGGTATGTCCGCCCATTGTCGCAATGCCCGCTCCTTCGCTAATGCTTATCTTCGTAGCTCGAACCCGGCACCGGTCGTCGCAGCAAGAAGGCGCCCGCCTTCGCCAGCAAGGGCATGACTGTCATCGCCAGAGTTGAGGTCACCTCGACGGCTGGACAGGTTTGCTGTGAACCCTTCTCCTACTCGGAGCAGATGGGACGCTTCACCCTGCGTGACCAGGTAAGTAGCCAGTCTTCCCAGATATGCTGAAATCAAGCGCGCCGCTAACATGACCGCTAGGGACAAACCATTGCTATCGGTATGATCACCAAGCTTATCGAGAACGAGGAAGTTGTTGCCGAGTAAATGCGTGAATAATCGGCTGTTGGCATCCATTGCATAAGCTCCCAATCTCTCTTACCGCGGCCAACAGGGAAAGAGTTTGTCGGGCTCGGCAGATCTAGGGTGGCATGGGCGGGAAACACGGGCTCGACAATGACAAGCTTAACGTTGGTTGATGATGATGAATTTTACTTTTTTCCCCTTCTGTTTCGTGCTAGACTTTTGATTCCTGAGTCGATCGATATAACGCGACTAAAAATCACGCCATAAAACTCGCCATGCCCACCCAGCATTTGCTTCAGAATACACCAAGACCAAAGAAAGTCTTTTAGTATAGTATAGTAAACCCATGGCAGTGTATTCATCTATATCACAAGAGAGAAAAAAAGGGGAATCGGAATAAATACATACATACAGCTCGGAAAAAAGCATCGCAGCAAGCAAGCAAGTATCAAGCACAACCTCCACCTCCGAAAACAAAAAAATCAGATGAAGCATCACCGACGCTTCTTCGACACGACCGTGGTAAACCCATCATCATCGACCTCAGGCTCGACCTTCTCCCTCGGCGCGCGCACCAACGCCGGCGCCACCGCAGCATCACCATCAACCATATCCACATCCATCTCCTCGTCCTCGTCCTCGTCCTCATCATCCTCATCCTCACTATCCTCCTCTCCCGTCCCCGCCCCAGCCGCGCGCTGAATCCCCGCAACAGCCGTGTCCCCGCCCTTCCGCTGGTACACCTCCCACATGTGCTGGATGCCGGCGTACTCGCCGCGCTCCGTCTGCGCCTTCATCTCCATGATCTGGTCCGCGACGGCGGCGGCGCTCTCGTCGTCCACGTCCACGTCGAACTCGTCCGTCATCACCTGCACCAGCACGTCCTCCAGGTCGTACGAGTCCGTCTCCGGCCGCGTCGCCAGCATCTCCGAGATCGCCCCGCACAGCCAGTCGCGCTTGTCGGCCGAGGTCGGGCCGCCCCAGAGGGATTGCACGGCCAGCGTGAGCGCGGGCCAGTTGTGCAGGGCCAGCGTGATGCCTAGGTCCAGGTAGTTGGTTCCTGCTGGCGGAGCCGGGGGTGAGGGGTGGGTGGACATTTTGGTGGTTGTGGTGGTGGTGGTTTTGTTGGGGGGTTGGATGTGCGCAAGTAGAGTTGGTAGGTGGTTTGAGTGTTTGAGGCTCGAGGGGAGGGTTGAACTGAGGATTGTTGTTGTGTTGTGGTGTGTTGTGTTGCGGCGGGAGTTGTGGCGGGGTACTGTACTTGGTTTTCCCGGGGCGGTGGTTGTTTGAGGACCGTGAGGGAAGGGTCGGTGTAGGATTTGAGGAATCTACGCTCTAAAGAGAGTAGTAATGGGGAGATCTAATTGATCTGAATAAGAGAGATGTAATGCGATTCACAAGGAACAGCGCTGGCGCTCGCTAGTATTGATAGCTTTCTGAATTTTTTTTTTCTGCCGATAGGGATGGATGCTCTATCGGGTGGCTGATTAGATAGATAAGCGGTCATGTGACTGTTTTCCATCTAACTATGTTATGGCTGGTAAGGAGTCTCATGCTCTCTCGATTCTTGATTGCTGAGTAGGAAGGAGACCTACCGGGTTGTTATAAGTGTAAAGATTGAAGTAAAAATGTTAAGAGTGATAGGGCAATCTGATGGGAGGTCGATAGCTTCACAGTGACTTTTGTTTCACCTTGCCAGCACCCAATCTCTAAATACATACTTCGACACTACAGCATGCTGTATATGGACGAAAGTTGGATGTCGACTCGCAAATGTAAGAAACCAGCCCGTAGAACTGTACATATTCGATGCTTTTCTCATCTGGAAATTGGCCACAATTTCTACTCTCGGTATAAGGAGGTGGTTCTCAACGGAGAGCATAGGACATGAGGTCTCAAGTATTTCCAAATCTCCCAGCCATGCCCCCGCGAGTCTGTGCTTAGGAGCGGTCATGATTTACAATTTGTAATTCACACGCAAGTATCTCGAGTGCTCAAGGGTATGGCTCACCTTCCGAAGAATAGCGGCTACCTGAACTGCAGAAAAACGTGGCTTTCCCAAGTGCTAGGAGATATGAGTGCATGTTATACAGTTAGAGCTTCTGGTTACATTGTAGGACATAAGTAGAATAGATCTTGGTAGAGTAGCAAGTATTGTATAACCAGGTTGCAGGCACTGATAAAAAACAATTAGAAAAGTTGATATAGATAGATTATCGCTATGGCGACTGCGTCCGAGTGTCAGAGACAGCCAGAACCTACAGAATATACTGAAAATCCAAAGACCCGAAGGAATTCACAATCCTCCCAACCCTCCGGGGGCAGTAGAGCCGATTTCTAGGCGGCGCTACTCCCCCCGGGAGTATCAGATCTACCCTGTACCCGCCCATATGCAGCAGCACGGCAATGGCAAACCAGATGCTCGACCATTGTTTTCATACGGTCCTGCATGACATTCTGGCAGTAGCGACAAGTCGCTCTCCGCCAGAGGGACGGTTCTTCGCCACCGCCGCCGCCGTCCGGGGAGATCTCAAAATGCTCTCGTTGCAGTTCGCCGACGAAAGCTTCTCCTTCTACCGTTCGAGCCCTGCCTTGAAGACAGGTCTGCACATGGGCCCTCAGTGATGCCGTGCGCCCCCCCACATTTTCGTGGCAGCGACGGCATACGAATCGGCGTTGGTTGACATGGGTATCCAGACCCTCGCCGTTGCGGCGGTGACTAGAGCCCTTGGAGGAGCGCGCTGAGGTGCTTTTGCTTCGCTTTTTGACTTCCCGGCAGCCGTACTGGAGATGCCACTCCAACGCGGAGATGGCGTCGCGCACGAGTCGTTTGCAAAGATGACACTGGAGGAGTCGGGTTCCGTCTTTGCCGTCCTTGACGTCAAAATGCTGGAGGAGCGCCTCGTCTGCTTCTGCTTCGGGGTTAATGGGCCCTGAGCGCACTGGCAAAGACATGGTGTTTCTGACTTACCAGAGAGAACTGACTGTACTGTATAGGTGAGCGAAGATGTGCCAGTCGAGATTCCTGTTCAGGCGACTCTGTCAGTGAAGGATGCACTGTGACTAGAAGAGGAGGCCTGGACGGGAATTTATACTATCTCTCAAGCAAGCACCCAACAGCACCCAACATTCAGTGCGATCCCTTGAGACGGAAAGCCCCGCATGTGCATTCATCAGGGTCAAGATCTGCAATCAAAGGGTTGGTGGATTTTGCCAGTGTATGTCTGATGTAGGAGATGTTTCCAGAAAAAGACGTATGTGCTCAAAGAACAAGACATTTGGAAGCCTGGCTCTTGAGTAACGAGTCTCAAAGAGATGCTCACAGAAGAAGGAGGTCTTCTGATGTGTAGGTCAACTGGGAGAATCGGTGTGGTTACGATGCAGCCTACATCTTCATTGTCGGTCTGATATATTCCTTCTATGTTATTGTTCCAAGCGGTGACTTTGCAAACTCATGTGTAGAGCAGTGGATAATAAAAAGACAAAGAGAGTTCAAAACTGTTTAGATGAGATCGTCATCTACGTAGTGTGTGTGGAAAGGTTTTCATGAAGAAAAGATGATGAAAAGGAGGTGATCAAGCTAAAGGAACTTGAGGGCGACGATTCCCAATAGGGAAGGAACTGGACCACTGAGGTGGTGACACAATTCCATCTACTAGTGTCTTCTAAATAATCTCTTTTAGTGTTTGATACATTTACAATGACTTCATAGCTCTGGTGTAAGATTCAATAAAATGGATTATCAAAATCCAGGTAAATAAGCATCAAATTGCGCCTACCCGGTCTACGCTAAAGCGAAACAGATATTCCGCTCGAGACGCCTACAAAACCCCAACAGGCGTCGGACTCGACGAGGATATACGTTTCAAAGGCGATGACTGTTCGCTGCTCGTGCTCCTCGAGACCCGATAACAGCATCAGTTTAATCAAAGGCCCGAACAGGGCACTCCTTAACTGAATGCACCATTTTAGCACCGCGAGTGGCCTTGACAACCGCACCGCAGTCGCGACACTTGGCCCACCGATCCGCCTTCTCGTCCCGGAAGAGCAAGAACTTGCGGCGCATCGCGCACCTAGCCAGATGGGCGCAGAGCGACCACCGCGTATTGCAGACTTTCCGGTCGCAGTCGCGGCACTGCGCCTTCAGCTGGAAGCCCTTAGTGCCGATCACGAACCGCTCTCGCATCTGCTCTGTTGTCAGCTTGGTCAGCTCGGGGGGTTGACAGTGTTCTCCATCGTAGTGCCATTCTTCCTGCTTGGACGATGATGTCGGATCCTTTGGAAGGTGGCCGGGGCACTTACCTAGCATCCGCTTCTGCGCGTCAGCGAGACGCTCTTTGCGACCCGGGCAAAAGTGCAGATGGAGCTGCAAATTGGTAGCAGACGGGAGAGAACTGCTGCTGGTCCAGGACATCCAGCAGTAGCGGCATTGCACTTGGCATGAAACGCGGTGGGCTCCGTCCTGTGTCACTTCCCCGTGGGTGGTGACCTTGTAGTAATCGTCCCACAAGGTGGGATCGGGGATCGAGGGAGCCTGTCGCTTGCCCTTTCTCTTTCCCTTTCCCTGCTGCAAAGACCTGGACCGGACGTGCTTAGCGTTAGTAGGCATGGTGTTTGTGGTTGTTTTGACTTGTGCACCTATGTGGAAGAGACGAGATTCTGTTCTTCTGTGAGAAAAAACCGAAAGTCGTGATGGAAGGAAAAGCTGAATGATCAGGAGACATGGAATGGTCCCTTTTATAATGAACCCCAAAGCATGATTCAGGGACTTCGAACCTTGCTGCTCGTTACTATGTCAAAGAGTTGTTGAAGAGCTCCAGTATCGTCCGTATCTAGTTGACAGTCTCCACCAAACCACAAAGAAATGAGCTGTCCCAAGTGCTTGGGATCAAAGGAGATCTCAGGTTGGCTTAAGGGGAGATATTCATCCTTGGCTTTGAAGGACATTGTATCCTTGAGTTGCAGTACGGGCTAGTCCGGTGGTTGCGAGCTGGCTTCAAAGCTGAATTGATGGAGGTTACCGACTCCGCTGTTGTGCTTTGTGGACAGGGTCATAGCCGGAGTTCTTCACAAACCATCATTCGCGTTCGTAGCATAGGGGCTAGGATTGTATTCCGAGTGCTGAACAAACAATGGCTTACATGCATAGTCTCTATATGCAGAGAGCTTCGATGTGTCGAAGAGCGCATGCATGGTCAAAGCTACCTGAACTCGTTAGCCAAGGTATATGGAATGATATTTTCCACAATCAGTCAACAACAGTCAAAGTCATTCGAACGCGAATCCAACCCGCTTACGTTAAATGGACCGTTCCCACATATTGCTTGAGGGACGAAAGCAAGACACCACGTTATATACAGATCGCCTAGGATCATATTCTAATAAGGTAAATAACACCATACGCCGTATCTTCACACCAGCCGCGACATGGTATAATGAACTAATATAACACATAAAGAATAATCAGAGAACATAGCTCAGAAGTGCCTGGGCCTTGACCACAGTAGCAATGTGCCAAGGTAGTGTACCCTGTTGCACTGCCCGAGTGCCCCGGGCTCGAGCCAGGGTCGCGAGATCACGGTACATGCTCAGGATCTCTCGAAGAACGGCGTCATACGAAGCTGAAGAACGCCTTGTGTAGATGATGTTGGCACCCATGGTATACACCCCGTCCCCGTCGGTAGAGCCTCTCCTGCGAAGCAGGTATCCGCTGGCCAGCGCGGGTCGATACTCGGTTTGATGCATAGAGCTGTTAAGGCGATGGGACAGAACAACGCCCCACGTCTCATCGCATATGTCCATGAGGAGGGATTCGGACTCTATTTCAGGATTGGTATCTGTCGGGGTCGGGGCGTTTAGAGGTACATTCGCTGCGCTTGGAGGGGTGGGCGCAGTGCTGAATTGGTCGGGTGAGGAAATACTAGGATTCGGCGTAGCGATGGGGGTGGTTGACGCAAGAGGATTGACTGCGCTCATGGGCAAAGGCAAGAAGGGTGGCTCAAGTGTGAGATCGGGCGTGGTACCGACGCTCAAAATTATCAATTCTAGATTCGCTGATCTAGACTTGTTATACTGTTCCGTGAGGGCTGTCCAAGCTGAGGTCGTCAGTAAACATTCAACACTCCTACAGTGGCGGACTTACTGTCAACCTCTTCCTGATCCACAGGATCTGTGTTGGCGACAATGACCCGCCAGCGCGCCTGAGTCCTGTCCATAATGTCCTTCGTTGCTCCCCAGATTTCACCGCGAACTTCCGCAATGCTTCTCACCGCGGACGAGTTGCGGAAGCGGAGGCAATAGGACATGGTTCGCTGCAAAGCGCCGGTGTTATCTGACCAGGCCACACTCATCCACCTTTGATCTTGACTTCTGGAGCACGCGATGTGGAGACACCTGCCTTCTTGCAGTGGAGAAGTCTTCTCAGATGAGAGTTTGAAGTTGATGATCTTGGGAAGTGGTTCTGCAAGAAGCACTGGAGGGGCGCCATTGACCAAGCTAGAATGAGGCGATTTCGGTGGGCACCGGCTATAGACCTCGAGAGCTAAGTTCAGGTACTCTGCTTGAGGAGGCACGACTAAAGATTCATTCGACATGAGAAAGTCGAGGGGGACGATCTGCAACACAAGCTCATTGAGTTGGCGGGCCTGCTGCCTGTCAGCATCGGCCACATATCTCTGGAATAGACTCCAGAAGGCCGAACAAATATCGACCAAGGCCGCAGCCTGAGCAAAGGGATTAACGATATAGACGACAAGATTGTTGTCCTTGCCGGGCGGACTCTGTAGCAAAGCCGTACCTACACCTGGTTAGCGCTGGACCTCAAAATCAGGGAGAACTGACATACCTAAGTCCTCACAGATCGTCTGCAAGGATTGCATGATAGATGAATAGCGCGTGTGCGACAAATCGATGTCCCATGAGCCCATACCCCGATTGAACAGGTTTGAGCTATTCCCACGATCATGATTACCAAGATTGCAACCAGAATACACCAAGCCCAGACGGTCTAAAAAGGTATCCGCAGCCTCTGTGGCGGTATGGGGATGGATGCAATAAGCAAGTATATCCTTCTGACCATGGGCCGGTCCCAACCCAAACGTTTCCCAGAATGGGATTGCTGGTGGTAGTGTTTCCAGAAAGTCTTTGCCGCGGCAGACGCGTAGATGTGGTGGGCCGAGGCGAGAAATGGTGCCCTTGCTTGTGTCTTTCCGCTGCGAAGATTGTCGGGCCTGAGTGGTAGGCGAAAGTGCTACGGGATCCTGCAGCGAGACGAAGCTATTTAAATCGAGCCTTTCTATTCCGCCCATGAATGATTCGTCATCAACGCTTTGTGAAGAATGCGCCTCGTTTCCGCAGCCTGAGAGACCAACAGTTCCATCATACTTGTGGTCCAGAGAAGATTGTGTGATTTGATCGACCAGGATTTGGGCAATCTGAACTTGCAATTCTTTTTGAAGAAGGGCAGGGAATGTTTGGTTTTGAGAGAGCGAGAAGTAGCCGGTCAAGGACCAATCGGAAAAGGTTGATAGGAAGTTTCCTAAGAAGACGGAGTCCTCGGGACGTTGAGTTGCTGTGTCTTGCTCTGCGTTTATCGAAGTCTTTTCTGGGGACAAAGCCAATGAGGTGCCGGAATTGGAAAGACTGCGTTTTCTTTTGCGCGTAGGGTATGTAGCTGGTGAAAGATCGCTCTCAGCTTCACTCTCAGCGCCGTCAATGCTCGCAGCATCGCTTAACTCGGAGTCTGATGTTGCTTCCTGGAATATGTCGTCCAGCGGACTGCCATGCTCATCGGATGGTTTTACACCCGCGCTTCTTTTCGATGTTGTAGTGTGGCGAGGAAGGCCAATGGTTGGGATATCACTGCTCGTAGTGGTGGCGTTCTCAATTGTGTCTTTCCCACGCATCTTAAACCAGAACTTGCCTTCAGAACTGTATTTCTGATCCCAGCTGGAAATCCCCTGCTTGAAATGAATGGGTTTATAATACCCTGGCATCTGTCCTTGCTGGGGCGACGGGTGACTCTCGGCTTGTGGCTCAGGGAAAAGAAATTTCTTGACCTCAACCGGACTCAGTGGAGGGCTTATAGTGCCGACATTGTCTTCCTGAGGCGATGGCAGAGGGACATTCTTTTCATGCAGAGGTTGTTCGCTCTGAGCTTCCGTAGTAACGTCCACTTTGTCGGCTTCAGGCGCAAACATCTGATCTTCGACAGCTTCTTGCACCAAGCCGGGAAAGGTGTGCTCAGCCGGTGTAGGTTGTGCTTCAAGTTGATCTGTCACAGTAAAATCCGGCATTTCATGCATGGGATCTGGGTGATCTCCTTCGTCCATACGGTCAAACCCCGGTTCATCGAAGAAGCTGAAGTCTGCATCCGTAATCCCTTTAGCTCCAAAATCCCTCTCATTCATATCACCAAACAGATCATCATCATCGTTGGTATCGTACAGTCCAGATCCAACAGCAAGACCTGCCGAAGGGCCGAACCCAATTGTCACATCCATTGCAGAGCGATCCTTGCTGTGTGGCTGGCCGAAAGAAATCTGCCTGGTCTGCTGGGGAAAGGCTGAACTGTTGTATAAGTCTTCAGAGAATGCATCTGAGGAGACTGTGGTCGGATTGAGCCCTGCTGTCGTGGCCCCGTCTGGTGGCGTGGGATATACAAGGCCTGCAGTCTGTAGGTCTGGATACTGTGAAGCCCGAGAAAGGCTTTCCAGTCCTTCAGGTAGACCAGCCATATCGGGAGTAGGTGCATCTTGGTCCTTGGTCTCTGATTCCTGGGCGATAGATAGAGGCTTAGGGCTCGTTTCGTTAAGGTTGGGCTTCTCTAATACGTGCCACTTTTCTGCAAATTCTAGAGGGTTATCAATGACAGCACAGACGCTTTCCATTTCACCATAGGAGTCTGAAGATGCTGATTTTGTCCTTCTGAAGCAGTATATAGCTGGCCAAAGAATTCGCTTGAGAGGAAGCGTTGATAAGCCTCCATCGTTCGGCCGCCATGTTTCCCCGGCCAGCCTAGAGTAGAACGGTTCCCAAACTTCAACCTCCACCCATGAATCCTCACCAATGCCATTTACTGGAAGACCAAAATTGGCAAGCCAGCCCAGCACATTGGCCATCCACTGTTTGCGATTCACTGGGTCCGATCTATCAGACCCAATACCCCCGGTGTTGTAAGGGTACGGAGAAGAACCCACCCTCTGAGCTGGTCTTGTCGTCACTAGTCTGGCAATCGACCCGCTTGGAGAAAGCCAGAGATCTGTGCCGGGGGGGATGTCATGGCTTTCTGGAGAATCTTCAGGGTTGCATAGTCTCAACAGACCAGGTTGTGGTACGGTTTGCAAAGCCACGGTTAGTTTTCCAGCAGATATCAGTTGAACTTGGAGCGTAGTCAGCGCTGGAACGAAAGTGGAGCTCTCAGCACTGTAGCCGACGGTCTCGTGGAGACCTCGTTCGTCTAGCGTGAGCAGGGTCCGTGACCCTAGCGGAACTGCACCAAGTTGCTGTATCAATTGAAGACTTAGCGTTCCCATCAAGGCTGAGATGAACGAAGCGTAGATCGTGACGAACGGTGTAGGCGCACTGGGTCTTTGCGGCCCGGCTGCACTC